AAAACTTTTGTTTATAAATATTGCTGATTACTTTACCTAGAATAAACCCGTTGAAGTGGCATTTGGGGTTAAAGGGTATGACATACTTTCAAGTAGGTAAACTTATATGAACATATGTGTATATGTGTTTTTTATCACTAAAAGATCCTTTAAAAATGTTGTACCAGTTCATATTCCTACTTGCAGCATATGAAAATGCTCACTTTCCAAGAGGAGAACATTTAAAAACCAAATAAACAATAAATAGAAAGAATTCAATGCAGACAATATAAAAGTTTTAAAGGTAGTCAGATAGTTTTCATATCACACATTTGAATGCATGGTGAAAACGCTGAAGGAAGGAAGGCTAAACAGACATCTTTTACACATATCAAATTTTGGACAAATTCTTGAGGGGAAAAAAATAAACAGCATGTTGGAGAAAGCTGGTAAGATGTAATGGCACAAGAGATGATATGTGATTCTATGCATGCCATCACGTAGCCCTCTTCCCCCCTTTACCCACTGAAAATGACAGAACTTGGACTGCTTACAAGTCTGGATATATGGGAATGATGTTCCCCACATGGCCAAAGGGAAATGGCTCAGACGTGTGCATTCCTGAGGCCAGCTGAGTAGTGTGGTCTTGGTGAATTCCTGTATGTTTGAATCAAGGTAGTCATAGGGTTGGTGCTGCATAAGGTTAATTTGGAATTGTTTTTCTTCAGGTTTAATATGCACAGTAGCTTTTAGTAGGGAAAGAAAATGGTTTCCAGGCACATTGGCCATCTTTCTGTGCTTATTATATAATCTTTATTCAAATAATATTTCTTCATATTATTGAAAGCTAGTTGTATTTTTCAGTATTTTTTTTAAATTTAAACATAAAGAATAAAAAAATCTCTCACAAATTCATCACCTAATGATAGGGTATCATTGTTTATGGCATTTACCTCCAGTTTTTTTTTTCTTTTATGTGCTTGTGTTTCTTTTGCAGAAAATCAAACTGCATACATGTTTTATGCCTTGCTTTTTTCCTGAATACAATATTGTAAACATTTTCATGTCATAAAACAGTCTTTAAAAATGTATTTAATGGCTGTCTAATATTTGCTTGTATTAATATGTGCTAAATTATTTGGAATGCTCTCACTGTTGAACGTTAAATCTGCTTCCATTATTTTATTAATCTGAGTAACACAGTGATGAACATCTAGCAGAAATCTTTGCCATGTTTCTGATGTTTTCCCTAAGGTGTATATTTCTAGACATATGTATTTTTCATTTCTGAGAATAACAAATGATAACTAACACTGGTACCAAAAAGCTTATTTTTCTCTTATTTCATTTGCTTTCTGCTTGCAAGTTTTGGACTATCTGTTCTTGACAGATTCTATTTTCTTTACAGTTTTGTTTATCCATTTGTTTTAAAATAATAGGCTCGGTGTCAGTGACCTTTCAGCTTCTATTATAGCAGACTGTTCTACCGTACTGCTCTTATCTTGACTGGTCATCATCTCAAACTCTGACACACATTTTCCATATATAAAACTTCCCCATGGATGGGGGCTCCTTTCAGGAGAGCCATCTCTATGATCCTCAAGTTTCACCCAACTACCTTGCGGCATCCTGCTTGGCAGGTGAGGCTGCTTCCTGGAATGCAGGCCTTTCTCTCTCAGATCTTGTATTTGATCCCAGCTTGGTGCACCTGCTTGTAATGGAAAACCAAAGGTGTGGGTCCCAAGAGCCCCCATGAGTGCACTGCCTTCTAATCCTGCCCAGCATGAGACTCACACCTGCATCACATTTTCTTAGAAGCTGCAAAGAAAAACACCGTAAACCATATCCAGTGATAGGACAAACCATGGAATTGGTTTAAGTTTATGAGTTATTACTCTTGAACATGAAACCAAAGGAAATCAGGGCTACTGTACACTTTAAGCCCATGTGAAAGCAGTGAGTTTTACATAAGTTAAGTTGAAATTTGGTGTTAAGAGATGGAGTTTCTATTTCAATTGAGTGACTCTATGAAAGCAGTTTTATCTTCTTGAACCTCTTTCTGTCCAATGGAAAACAGAAACTAATATTACCCACTCCCTCACCATTACAATGTAACTTGTGAAAACATACAAATTCATATTCAGTGTTTTGTGTATCTCAGAGGCAAGGGAGTTAACAGATGACCATTATCCCTAGAAATTACAACTCAGATAATCTGGGTTGCATTTGGCACTATTTCCTAAATATATGATGAATTATTGTTGGCATAGAAACTTCTTGATGACATGAGTCCTGTTTAAAAGTACCATCTCCTTTACAGCTCGCTATGTCCAACTAAAATATATCAAACACTTCCTGCTGTTCAGTGTTCAGATAATTGGATTTACTTCCATGTTCTTCTTCAGTTTCCATGTGAGCTTTAGTTCCCCTGCTAGGACTATACATCGTATCTCATTATTATTATTAGGTTCATAAACATAGGTTATTCATTCCAGTACAGATGGACGTCTTTGTTTCCAAGCTAAATCTTATATGATTATCATTAGAGAAATGTAAATCAAAACTACATTGAGATACCACCTCATGCCAGTTAGAATGGCAATCATTAAAAAATCTGGAGACAACAGATGCTGGAGAGGATATGGAGAAAAAGGAACACTTTTACACTGTTGGTGGGAGTGTAAATTAGTTCAACCATTGTGGAAGACAGTGTGGTGATTCCTCAAGGACCTAGAAATAGAAATTCCATTTGACCCAGCAATCCCATTACTGGGTATATATCCAAAGGATTATAAATCGTTCTACTATAAGGACACATGCACATGAATGTTCATTGCAGCACAGTTTACAATAGCAAAGACCTGGAACCAACCCAAATGCCCATTGATGATAGACTGGACAGGGAAAATGTGGCGTATATACACCATGGAATATTATGCAGCCATCAAAAATGATGAGTTTGTGTCCTTTGTAGGGACATGGATGAACCTGGAAACCATCATTCTCAGCAAACTGACACAAGAGCAGGAAATCAAACACCACATGTTCTCACTCATAGGCGGGTGTTGAACAATGAGAACACATGGACACAGGGAAGGGAGCACTACACACTGGGGTCTGTTGGAGGGAAATAGGGGAGGGATAGCAGGGGGTGGGGAGTTGGGGAGAGATAGCATGGGGAGAAATGTCAGATATAAGTGAAGAGGAGGAAGGCAGCAAGTCACACTGCCATGTGTGTACCTATGCAACAATCTTGCATGTTCTTCACATATACCCCAAAACCTAAAATGCAATAAAAAATAAAATAAAATATAAAACTAGTTCTGATTAAGGTCTTATGATATGCAATGAATTGTGTTAAGAGCTCTACAGGCATTATAATATAGAATCCTCACAACCACATAATAGGCACAATTCTTTTTCTAACTTTGCAGATGAAGAAATTAAAGCATGAAGAGGTGAGAAACTTGCTAGAGCTGATACCATGCAAATGCTATAGAACTTTAGGGTGAGCTTTTTAGCATATGACAATTACTACCTTCTGGAAGAAGTCATTTTAGTGTGTAGTTTTTTACTATCCAACTCAACTAAAAACTTAATATATAGGCTTCATTAATAAAAAAACAGTGTTCAATTCTAGGTTGTTACTGTCTTCCTTTTTGTGGGGGAAATTAAACTAGCTTGGGCTTTGTTGGGCTTGACAGCTTTTGTTTGACTTGTAAAATGTTGCATATTTGGTATAGAAATTACCCAGGGAGTATGACTCTTAACCTGGACATGCTGTTTGTGCTGGAGTCAGGGTTTTGAGACTGTAACCTCTCCTTTCATGTTTTGCAACTGGTCTCTTTTTCTGTGGATTTTTTTTTCATTCACTAGAAATGTGTTCTTTTACATTCCTCAGACCTGAAGAATGAACTCTGCCAGGTGAATCTAATTTATTACTCTGCTGACCACATCACTATCCTGTCTTTCCTCTCTTTTATTTTTAAAGGAGTAGTGTTCTACTGAAATGTTGGCATGACATGTCTTTATAGAACAATAATCTTTTACTTTAGTGATGCTTTAAAAAGTATCCTTTAAAAACATCTAGTTGGTATAAAAAGAAATCCAGAATACCTATGTATATAATTGATATGCTTCATGTGACTCAAGTTTTTGTTCTTCCCTTGGCTAAAATGTTCAGGTCAAAAAGACCTAAATGCCAATTAAAATTATTATTATAGTATTTTGAAAGTTTTGAGGTATTTGTTTTCTTATATCCTTCATCAATATAACTTGTCTTAATAGAACTTCAGGATGATACTCAGAGGCCAGAACCCCAAGTATGCATAAGTCTATGCACATCTTGTCAATGAATCAGCTGGGGTATAAAAACTCCCAGGAAATTTTTAGAGCCTAAGGAAGACCTGTACCTAAATAGAAAGCTATCCCATCTATCCAAGGAAATGGGCTAAAGGAAGATTTGGGACAAGGAAAAGCCAAATGAGCAACTGAAGTAAAAAATTCTATGTCAGGAGCAAAACCAGTAACTAATAACTAAAGTTATTAGCAGTAGCTTAATCATATGCCCATTTGCTTATTTCATTCACAAATATTTGGTGCTCCTAGTAAAATGGTCTTCACACTTCAGTGTCCATGAGACTCACCTGAAGAGATTGTTAAAATACAAAATTTTGGATCACTGCCTGAGATCATTACTCATTTGCTTTGGGGAGATACACAAGACACTTCCTTTTAACAAGCTTTTGGGACATTCTGATGCAGATGTCCCTTTGGATGCACTTTGAGAAATAATTTCATAGCATCCAAAGCATAGGATGAAGTCCCAAACAGGATTACAAACATGGAACAGACTTATCTTATTGTTCAGAAAACTTTGAACAAAAAGTGACATGTATTTTAACTTTAATGATAAATAATAGCAGTAATAATAGCTACTGTATCCCAGGCATTATTTTAGACTATATTCATATATTATTTCAATGAATCCTTAGAGTAACAGTCTTATTCCCATCTTGCAGTGAAAGAGACTGAGGTGCATAAAGATGAAGTAACATGTCCAAGGGCAGGAGCCCAGGCCTCTAACCATCATCTCCTGTCCTGTATACTCTAATCAGTATGGAACTGTGCTGTATATCACTATATAAGACAATATATGGTAAGTGTTGAAAATAACATATACAAATTGGTTTAGTGGGTATGATGGAGAAGGAGCTTAAATTTATTGAGTGCTTACCTTATGATAGGATGCATGGATTTTTAAGCACCCAATGAGGTATAAATTATCATCCCATTTACCCTCAGCTTCTTCATATATAAAGAAGGGATAATAAAATACCTCATCTCATAGGGTTGTAAAAGATGATTGATTAAAACAGACAATGTAATGTATCTAGCACAGTGCCTGGCTTAAACCCTTGATAAATGTTAGGTACTATTATTTTCACTGTCATTATTTTTAAATTGTTTTTAATGGACAAAATTTGTATCTATTTATGGTGCACAACATAATGTTGTGATGTATATACACATTGTAGATGGTTAGATCAAGCTAATTAACATATCCATGAACTCACATACTTATTTTGGGGGGTGAGAGCATTTAAAATTACAGTCTTAGCATTTTCAAGTATGCAGTATATTGTCACTGTCATTGCTTAAAGCTGAGAAATCGGAGGCTCAGGGAAGTTTGAGAACTGTTGAGGTTACCTGCTAACAGGACCTGGGATCTGATCAGCCTGGCTCTTTTTCCATTCTGTGCTGCCACCCAGCCACTGGGAGAGTAGGATGCCCTTCCTTATGGTGACCTGGGAAGGCTTCGTGGATGAAGACAGTTCTAGAGTCAGGTTTGAAGAATGGGTAGAGTTTCAAGCACAGAAATAACAGAGAGGGTACTCCAATTTTTGCCTGAGCTATTTACTTCACTGAACTTATGTCTATAATTTAACAGAGCCCAAATCTCTCAAGACTTCAGCCTTCAGAACCCCTGCCAAAACAAATCTCAGGCAGGTTAAGGAAAAATGTTCCTGGATTCCTTCAAGACACTCCTGTGAAAGGTGCAGGGAAAGCTTGTGTATTTAGGGAAGCAACAGAGGTTGGACAGCAAGATTGCAGCAGCAGAAGAGATGCCGTGTCCTAAAGAGGCAGGCCATGGCTAGCCCTGTGGGCCTGTAGTGTCAGCATAAGCCTGCAGAAGGCCACAGCCTAGGGGATGTGGCCCCACTTAATGGGGTGGAAAGAAAGAATTTTACAGCCATGAGCCTTTCTGGAGGAAATTCAAAGGCTAAAAATGTAGCCCCTAAGCATTGGAGTTACACCCATGGAGGATAAATCTCTTATCAGTGAATCGTTCCTTCATGGCCAATACACCATGGAAGGAAGTAGAAGCGAGCCTACAGAATCCTATTTCTCCAACAGTAAAATCAGGGGCCATATGAGTGGGAAGGGTAGAGGCAAGGCTGCAGTCTGCTCTCCTGGCACCCTAGCCAGTGTTCTTTCCCAGCAACAGCTAAACTATGTCAGCTCCAGGGTTTCTTACAGAGGGTGGCTGGCAGACAGCCCCGACCACAGTCCTCGCCCCAGGGAACTCTGGAAGGAAGAGGGAGTTAGAAAATTTCCTTTTCTGTCTCCTTAGAAATCCCACTTACATTAGATCCCTCTATGGAAAAATTTATTTTGTCATCAGTCTGATGGCTTTTTAATTTAACCAGTACATTAATTTATTCATCCATTCAACAAGTATCTATGAAGCACTTCTCATGTGCCAGGCACTGCTCTAGTTTCTTTGGAGACAATGATGAAGAAAGGACAGAATGATCTCTACCTGCATTGGACTTCTATTTTAGGAGGTGGGAAGAGATGATCTGTAAATAAGACAAATGTCTGAAATATATACACTGGAGGCAATAAGTGCAAAGAAAAAAATAAAGAGGAACAGACATAGAAAGTTGGTGGATAGAGGAAGCTTAAATAAGGGATGGGTAGCCAGTGAAGTCCTCCCTGAAAAGTGTCACCTAGGAGAAGCCCACACAGATACCCTGGGAGAGTATTCCAGTCAAAGCGGCAGAGCAAAGGCCTAAGGAGAGTACTTGGAACAGTGGAGAAACAAAGGCTGCAGTGGCCAAAAGGAAGCGCATTGGGAGGAAGTGGGAGATGAGGTCCAGAAGGGAGCAAGGAGGGTGCAGATTGTGGCTTATCAGGCATGTCTTTGGGGAGTTTTGAGCGGAAGAGAAATTTGATGTGCCTTGACTTTTATCACAATCACATTGATTATTGTGCAGAGAAGGAAACAATGGTCAGAGCAGGAGGCCAGCTAGAAGATGTGATTCCCCAGAATTATTGAATTGACTATGCCTAGCCAGTAATTGATATTTCCTGTCATTTTTTGAGGTCTTCTAAATGCCTCTCTTTCCTGGACTCTGTAACTTTTTCTCCCTCAGCATAACATGCATGAAACAAACCTCACTATTTATTCCCATTGCTGGATATCCCTGCTGATTCGGAACAACAGCCCTGACACAAAGAACTGCAGGTGACACTGAGTTGAGAGAGTGGCAAATGCCTCATACTGGTTCTCTCAACGCCTGCTCCAGTCCCCTTTGCTTGTGTCTTTCTGTACTTCAGAGACTGGAAAAGTAGAAAGGAGAATGATACTTTCCAGATCTCCTGGTAGCTCCAGGTTCTAAGGGGATTTGATTTCCTCCATGCACACACACTGCTGCAAGTCTTGGAGGCAGAAGGAGTTTGGGAGGTGGTGGGCAAGTAGAGAAAGGTGAGATCCTCTGGAAAGGATGGTGTCGAGGAGGAGGAGCCTGGGTTCTTTAAGATGAGTTGAAATTCTCCTGTCATAAATACCAAGTGGTGAGCAATAAGGCCATGGCAGAGGGATGTGCCTCAGAACATCATCTCCCTTGCATGCAGTCCTTGGCCAGTACTCCCCAGCTTGGTAAGCTTCACAGCCCATTTAAAACTTCTGTATATTTCCAACAGCCTGTAATAAACCCTTTTTGACTCAATGAGTCTAAGACGACTGCAAAGGATTTGGCCATCTAACCTTAGTTTTAGACTTCAGGAAGGACGGGGAAGCAAAGTTTCATCAATGTTCTGTCCACCTTCTAAGGAGATTTCCTGGGAGCCCTTCGCAAGAATTTCACTTACATCTCACTAGCGATAAAAACTCAGTTACACAGCCATACTTAGGTGCAAGGAGGCTGGGAAATGTAGAAGTTTAGCTGGACACCTTTTCCTCTCAATCATGAAGGATTTCTGTAGTAGAGAAGTACTTCTTTCTCTTAGTAAAGAAGAGGGAAATAGATATTGAGTAGGCAGTTTGCAGTCTCTGCCAAAAAGCGTATACATTATTTTAGGGTCGTGATACATATTGCTAAATTTCTTTTTAGAAATGTTTACACTTTCATCATCATCAAAAATGAAAACTAAAATGTGGGGAAAAATTAAGTATATATATCCAGATGTTTATTATAGCCATAAAAGTGTCTTTTGGTATCAACAAAATAAATATTCAAGTGCCTAAAATATGCTAGGTTTAGTCCTAGGAAGTGGGAAAAAAGCATGAAATAAAACAGACAAAGAGCCCTGTTCTAAAGAGAATCTGGTTGCAAAATTTGCCACATAAGAAGTGTGTTTTCACAAACCCCATCACCAGATTGGCCGATTAAATATTGATTGTTAGCAAAAATTGTGATTTGGGTTTTGTAACAGTTATCTAAAGCCTTCCTTTTAGCATAGATTGTCTGAATATAGAATCCATAGTATGTTGAGGGCACTGAGAATTTGTGGCAATGAAGTTTAGTAGTAAAGTTCCAAAATATTCATCTTACTATTCTCTAAGGTGTGCAATGGTGAAACTGTGTCATCTAAGAAAGTGATCCTGTACCAGAGGTTCAAAGTTGAGGGGGAGGGTGCAAGTAGGGGACAAGGGCCAGCATGTCTAAAAGCACAGAAAATGAGAGTGAGTGAAGGGAGCTGTGAGTAGTGCCTGATCATGCAGGTGCCAAGTGAAAGGGTGACAGTGGCAGGAGGTGAATCATGGTCAGGAGTGGGCCAGATCATTACACTCTATTAAAGAATGCAATTTTATTCTTCTTTGAAGGAAATCATTAAAAACTGTAGAGCAGCATGTGCTATTATCAAAGTAAATAAAAGGATAGAGGTAAAGTTATTAGCACAGTGCCCAGCACCTAGTGAGCCCATATTAAATGTTAGCTATAATGATAATTACTATTCCTTGATTATAAGCATCTCTCTGGAGGATGGGTGAGGATGCTGAGATTAAGAGGATTTGGACAATTGACAGTGGTTGTGAAGAGAAGATAGAGAACAGAGATATTTAGGAGAAAAACAACAGGACTTAACTGGGAGATAAGGTTGAAAAAGAATGTAGGGTTCCAGTGTGGGTGCCTCGGTATGTGATGGAATCATTCACTGATAAAAGACATGTGGTCAAGGTAATATTTTTGCAAGGAAATGATGAGGTGCCTTTAGCACATCCAGATAATCATGTCCTCTTGCCATCCAAATTTTCTGTTCCAATCTAAAACATTGACATTATGCCATTTCAAGGGACCTGCTGCTTCCATTCAAAGGATGACGAAGATTTCCAATGTCTTGGCTGGATTCAGGATCTCTGTTGGAACCCAGTGAGGAACAAATTCACCTGTCACCCTACTCTTTTCATGCAACCTGGGAATTATTTCTTCCTGGCTTTGAAGGTTGTTAGCTCATGTGCAGGAGGAAGCAGAACATTTGTTCAGGCTCCTTTCAAGGCTGGTTGCCACATGAAGACACTCACAAAAACCAAATTTATGGTTTTATGTTTTCCTCTTCTATTGTCAGGAGTGAGAGCAGTGAGAGGGGAACTTCAGTAAAGGCTGTTCTCTTGCCTCAGTGGCAGAGAGCAAGGAGGGCCTTAAGGAGCTCTGCTTGCCCACCTGGACCATTTAAATTAAGAGATGAGCAAGGTGCCAAGTGCACAAGGGCAAATTGCCTGTGCAATGAGCTCACAGAAAAGTTGTCTGGCAGGGGCAGCTTCATTGAGGAATAAAATCCTTGTAATTCACTTCCCTGCACTAAAACACAGAATTTCTACATGTAAGAGCTTGGTGTCTTTGTAAAAGCAGGGGGAATTTATAAATTAGA